TTTTAGTCTTAAGATTATCATTTATCATGTGATCATTTATGTAATACCAATACTGCAGTACTGTATTATAAAATGTGCGATAAAATCTGTACTATCAATTTTTATTATGATACTTGACATAGGTTTGATTAATTAGTATATGCAGGACCCCAATAATTTGTGTAAGTTTCGGTAAAGCAATTTTCATGTAATATGATCATACTATCATATGATTTCATGTGATTGGTTGGATCGTATGTCATCGACTTTGATAAGTAAATTTGTGCAAGTCTATTGTAACTCGATAATGCTAGCTAAGTTTTCATAATGCTGGTACTTTATATCACGTGTGAAACGAAAATTACATGAAATGTAAGATTGTAAAATGTAATTTTCAACCCTATCTCTAGTAGCATCTCTAGTTAGGAGTAACGTAAAAATCGAAATTAAATCACTTTACAGAAACAAAATAACTCAACTTTAATTAACCGAAAAATAATTTTGTGATATCACATATTTCGGTTTAATTAAAATTTTTCCGTGAAAGTTTTAACAGGTATTAAGTTATTCTAATTCTAATTTTAACATGGATCTATTAATTTTATAAGAAAAAGTATTTTAATATCACGTAATAACTAATTTAAAATCTTGATTGGTCAAAAATCAAAGTGGTGCAATTTTGGTAGAGCAGCCTAGTTATAATTAAAATTATATCTGGTTCTATGTTTACTATCTCAAAAGTTAATGAATTATATCTATTGCATATTGATATAGATTAAGTACCACTGTATAGTTGATCACCCTAATATCATTAAATTTTATGGATTTTCAAAAGGTATGTTTACATTGCATGTATAAAAATAATTTTTAATAGAAAACATTTCATCGCCAATGCCGGTCAATTTCGTGGACGGGATTCTATGCGTCAGATCAACAATTGATCGAACAAAAAGTTCGAAGCATCGTACTAGTGATGAATTATGTACAAATATTGATTTTTTAGAAATTAATACTGTTTTAACAAATGTACGCATATAAATGCGTATGTACGTTGAATAAAATTAGGCGCTCAAATGGGTGATTTCATATTTATATTACAATATGCAAATGGTGGAAATCTACGAGATCATTTACAAAAAAAACAAGAAAATAATTACTATAAAATCTCATGGACTGAACTTATCAAAATCGCAACAGAAATAACTCTTGGATTAGAATATTTACATAATAATGGCATTATTCATCGTGATCTAGTAAGTCTTGAAATTTTAATTTTCAATTATATATATAGACGCTTATAACATCCAACAAATATTATTAGTTAATAGTAACTCTAAACTATCACTTAAAACCCTTCTAGCATTCTAAAAATATCTTGATAAATGATGGTAAAGCCGTAATTACAGACTTTGGAATATCAAAACAATTAAATGGATCTGCCACTTCAAGTTCTGCAATTATTGGAATGATAGCATATATTGACCCGCAGTGCCTCAGAAATGAAAAAAAGCAAAATAAAAGGTCTGATATTTATAGCTTGGGTGTTATATTTTGGGAACTTACAAGCGGGATTCCTCCATTTAATAATTCCAACAACAGTGTAGCTATTATCATAGAACTTATAAATGGCATCAAAGAGAAAATGATCGAAAATACCCCAATAGATTATGCTAACCTTTATAATAAATGCTGGTCTTCTTTTCCTGACCAACGTCCATCACTGTGTGAAATTTTAGTAGAACTTGAGAAGCTATCAACAGAAACAAATATTGAGTTTATTGTAAATGATATTTCTCCTAAAATTGATGTAATGTAAGTACAAATTCTGGAGTTTGATCTTAAAATAGGTTGTTGTATGAAAAGTTTTACTAATATTTGTATCATCTTTACTTTGAAATAATTTTGAATATAGAAATTCTGTTGAAAGATATTCCAATTCAATTGACACTGATTTTGTGTCGGTATCATTTAATACAGAACAATTTCCATCTACAGAATCTTATGTAAAACGTATTGAATTAATAAATGGAAATTTAATGATAGATTGCCCTGTTCCTTCAGATTTATTGAAGAGTTTTCATAACATAAGCTCGAATGAATTCATAAATATGAGATATACTGCTTGTACAAGTAAACCAAATAATTTTAAGAAAGATAATTTTACTCTTCGTCAGATTGAATATGAACCTTCAAGAGAAACGGAACTATTTATTTTGATAACAATGAATAATGTAATAAATTTGCATTTATTAATAAGTGATAGCTATTTTCAGCTAATTAAATGATTTGTTTATAATTCAAAATATGGTTTAGGAAGATGAAGTTCAATTATCTTGTACTCTTAATGGAATCATAGAAAATATTGCTCGCCTTTGCTCTCTCAAAAATTCTGAAATATGGGTATATATTATTTGTTTCATTATAACTGAATAAAGTAAATATCATTTTTTAATACTAATTATATTATTTATAAGGATGAAAATGGATGGAAGAAGATCGTTGTATGCATAATTTCTAATGGACGAGACAATATCAATGAACGTACTTTAGCATACTTGGCCACTCTTGGTGCTTATCAGCGCAATATTGCAAAATCACGGTTGGATAATAAAGCTGTTAAGGCACACATATATGAATATACAACTCAGATTTCAATTCAATGTTCTAAGGAATCTATAATCAAAAAGACAATTAATGATGGAATTTTTCCGACGCAAATACTCTTTTGTCTTAAAGAAAAGGAGAAAGACGATGCTGATTCTTTCCAATGGTTTTTTAATGCATTCTGTCCGATTCTTAATCCTAAAATATGCATTCTTATTAAAGCTGGTGTTAAACCAGGTTTGGAAATAGTTTATATTAATTTATTGTTGCGTAATATAATGCTAATTAAGTTCTAATATTTTTTTATGCATTAAAATTTCTAAAAGGGAATAATCTATATTTAATTTGTGGAAAGCATTTTTAAACTCTAAGGTTGCTGGTGCTTGTGGTAAATTAGTTGCAATGAAAGATAGAAGTTGGTACCAAGTATTCAACCCAATTATAGGTGCCCAAATATTTGAGCATGAAATATTAAATATTCTGAATAAGCCATCTGAGTCAATTTTTGGTTATATTCAATCTTTGCCTGAAGAATTTTCAGCCTACCGATATATTTCGCTTCAAGATATTTCAAGCAATAATGAAGACACATCTATTCTTTCCACATCCTATCTTAAATATAATTATCTTCTTTGTTTTGATTTGATTTCAAAACATAATCGTTCTTGGATACTACATTATGAAAGTTCTTCCCATGCTGAAATTGATATTCCTACAAATTTACCAGAATTTATTTATCATCAAAAAAGTTGTTTAAATCAAATTTTCTATGCTAGAGTTTATTCAATAACTCATTTTTATTTTATTTGGAGAAGCGGACACTCTTTTATTCGTAAAATCCTTTTACAAATTAAAGTTTTATATCAAATTTATCATTTTCTTTTTTCATGGTTTGCTTTGGTAAGTATTTATCTAGGCTAGGGGGTTGAGAAAAGGGACCAAATTGACAATTTCTTAAAGCTTTTTTTGAGCTAAATTAGCTCCAACATTTTGCTTAAGGAACAAATACTGTTATCTTAATAAAATTTTGCAGTATAATTCTTTGAAGTTTGTATTTTCTTATAATTTATTATAGAATTTATCTCTTAATGCGTTAGATAGGTGCAGGCAAATTTGCCTGCAAAAAGTTATATATATATAGCTTTAAAAAAAAATTTTATAAAACTTTATATAATATTTCAATATAATATTTATTAAGATTTTATGTTATTTTTAAACTATAAATTATAAGTATAAATTATATTTTTTAAAAATTTAGTATAATTTAAAATTGATCGATTTTTATAAAATAAAATTAAATAATTAAATTATCAATATTAAAAAAAATTTTAAATATATTCGAACCTTCAAAATATTACTAAATTTTTACTTTAAGTTATAGTTCATATAAAAAAAATATATTTATTTAATATTTATATTTAACATACGTACATATGTATATATGTATACACATATATATGCAATATGTATATACAACTGAAATATATTCGTATTACTAATATATATATTGTTATTGTTTTTCAATATATGTGTGGTATTTTTCGAAACATGAAGGACGAGATATATTGCAACAAAGTGCAACATTGCATTTGTTGCACCAAATTTGACTTTGTGGTGGATTTTTTTCATTTATATCTTTATCATTTTGTTTTGCATTCCATCAACACCAAACACATGCTACCCGACTTTTTCTCCATTCAGGATAGTGATTTGTACCAGATAGACGAATAGTTGGAAGTTTATAATATTTACTTACAATAGATGCTGAATTTTTATTTAAATGTTGCTTATTAACTACTTTCTGTCTATTATTTAATGTGTCATTAATAAAATCCCATGCTAGTTGCAATCTAAACTGTCGATGAGCAAGAGTTCCATCTATTAGAATAAAATTTAAAGCTTTTGTCTTAAAAATAACTTTATAGAACATAGTAATTACTATGTTCTCTAAAGTTAATTTCAAGACAAAAACCTTATTTATTAATAAGTATTATAGTTATAAATAATTTATAATTAAATTAAATTTACTTACTATTTTTTTGATAAATAATAAATGAATTTACTATCGCAGTATCTATTAACCAAAATAATAATGGCATCCAAATACGTGAAGCAGCAAGCTGACAATTATAATAAGATCGATATTGATCAGCAATATCTACTCCATTCATAAAATGATTATAATCATTAATGACTTTTGGGATTAGAATTTCTTTATATACTTCATTACCAAAAACTTTTCATACATTAGTTGCATTTGAACTTGTTTCTCGAGGTCGCCGTCGTAATCTTAAAACTTTCCACTCATTATTATTAATGCCATGAATAGTTGAAAGCATATGAACAGGACCATTATCCATCCAAAAAATTACTAAAACATTATTTACAATAACTCCAGCCAAAGTATCCCAATTTAGATGAATAGATTTTTCAATCTTTAATTCTTTAGGAAACATTGCTGAGTTTATTCGTACTGTACCACAAGCACCATATCCTTTTGTTCGCAAATAATTAAAGAGAGGTATACTTGCAAAATAGTTGTCCATATATATATTATATGCCCGACTATTAGATAATTGTGTAACAAGATATGATACAAGTGATCCAGTTTTGCTAAGACCTGAAATATTTAAAACTTCTCTATTTAATTCAACACGTGATTCAAATGTAAAAGTATAAGTATAACCTTTTTCACACAATGAGATAACCTTATAACCTTCTGAAATAGGTTTATTTTTCATTCTAAATGTATGTTTACTACGTCCAGAAAATCTAATCATCATTTCATCAATTGCAACATGTGAACCTGGTATATAAATTTGTTTGCTAATATTTCGAATATGCGAAGCAAGTGGTTCAACTTTGTCAAACCAATTAAGTTTTTCAGAATTAATATCTGAAATATGTAAATACCTTTTAATTTGTTGAAAACGTACCATTGACATCATTTGAGTAATATCATGTTTAGGATACATAGGATTAACTGACCAATAATCTGTTGTTCTTGGTAATTTAATAACACCCATATATATAACAATACCTAACCAAATTTTTAGCTCATCTAATGTTAAAAGTGACCAAGAACGTCCAACCAAACCGGCATATTTTGATTGTGCATACTCATTAGTATTTGTTAGAATTGTATTTAGAATTGTTTGTGAAAAAAATAACCTAATCAATCCATATGGACTAATATTGTTATCAGGAAATGCTGGTGGTAATCGAATAAAACCTTGATGAAATGGTACATTATGCTTTAAGTAACTAAAATCAGGTGGTACAGGTAACTGTGCGAATATTTTAGCTTTTTTTTCTGAAGCTATATTTTTTCCTTCTTTATTTCCATGTCCTTTTCCCCTTTTTCTAGCCTTTTCTTTATTAATTTGGTTTTCATTGTCTAGAGTAATTGCATCGGTTTTATTAGTTAATTCCACAATATCAGCATCACTATCAAAGTCGTCATCTTCAAAAAACTCATCTGGTGTTCGTGAAAAGAATAAAACTTCATAAGGATCTAACAAATCTGCAGATAATTCTTCGTTGTTTTGCATTGTAACAAACTAAAGAATAAATATTCATTCAAAGTGGACCTGATTCAGAAATCGCTTTTAAAAAATTTAAAACAAACCCTTTTGTAAAACAATAGCGTGAGAATAATAATATTTTAAAAAAAAGGTCACTAAACTTAATTTGAATAATTTATAATTATTTTTCAGGTTCGATCAACGTAACGTGTGGCGCAGTAATGCGTGATAAGTATAATTTCGAATTAGTGTTAATCATCAGTAACGTAATTTATACAATTGATATTTTACTATAATGTTAATGAAGTCTAACCAAACCAGATAAAATATCTTTTAAGGGGACCTCTCTTATCTCATTTTTTAACAATTACATTAAAATTAGATTTTGCAGGCAAATTTGCCTCCATGACGTATTAAGAGATAATACAAAAATACATTTTTCACAAAAATTTGTTTTCGTTAATTTGGACCCTTTCTCAACACCAAAGTCTATATGCATTTGGAAATTTAATTTATAATTATTTTCATTATATTAATCTTTTAATGCTATTTAATTAATTTTAGGGCAGTTTTTATGTCATTTATTATAGATTAGTAGTGAGTTTTAATAACGTAAATTATTTAATAATTTTATATACATATGGGACTATGATTATTTTTCACTTAATTTTTGCTTTTTTAATATATTTCACAAGTAAGTAACTAAATTTACTGCAGTTTTATATATTTATACATGATTTTTATAACTTTTGTTTTTTCTATTGAACAGTTCTAGGTGGCGTGATATTATCCCGTTATATTTATCTATCTTTATAATAATTTTTATTTTATATATGTGCTTTTTACTTTTATTTTATAATTTTGAATATTATGTACCTATTTTTCAGAAAGATCCTCACCATTTGTTTTATAAACATTTGTACGATAATTTTGATTATAATTTAAGTCACAAATTTAAGTGTAGTTTTATTTTTTTAATTTTTAATTATATTATATTTTTAGTTGTAGGTTCAATAATATCAGGCTCATCAAATATTCTTACTTGCACTCTACAATACATTTGTTTGATCGCATTTTATATTAGCGGCATTAATATTTATGCATTTTTTAATAGTTCTATTAGGTAAACGTTTTATTAAATATGAAGCAGAATACCATAGTTATTTAAAAGAAACTTTGCTATTCTCAGATATCTGTGTCAATAAGTTATAATTTTTTTTAAATCTTTTAATTGTTCTAACTTTATTTTTTATTTTTTAGTTCAAAACCAATAAGTACAACCGAAATGGAAAGTATTGTCTCCTTTAAAGATGTTTTAGGAAAAGATGTTGTCAATATTTCATTGCCAAATGAAGCTGATAATAATTGGTTCAATTCCGAGAATTGGAATATACTAAATCAAAAAAATCGAAGCAAAAAAGAAGCCTTAAAAAAACAATATTATAATATAAAATTATATCCACCATGGGTTACATTACTATGGCTTGGTACTAATAGTGTTTTAGCAATACTATTAATTGTTTTGGATTTTTCAATGAATTTTTCTTTAGAATTTATAATATTCATTCTTTTAGTTATCAGCGAAAGAATTGTTACTGGATTATTTAAAAGTTTAATATTTTATATTCCTAAGCTATTTATTTAAATTATAAAACTATTATTTTGAAATAAATAATAGTTTAAATATGTATATTTAAAAATATTTAAAAATGTTTAATATTAAAATTGAAGTGTGTAATATAAAACTTTTTTAAAATCAATTTTAGTATTTACCGCCTATACATGGGTGTCTAAAATATGGATGATTTACGAGCAAAATTCAAAATGTTAGATGTCTAAAGTTTTTATGGCTGCCGAATTTATTATCGACTGCTGATATTATTGTGATTGCCATATTAATTATTATCGACTGCAATATTATTGTAGACTGTTGATATTATTATAGGCTGTTAATATTATTATATTTAAAAGGTATTAATTCCATCAAAATTTATTACTTCATTCATTCATATTCACTTTATTGTCACATTTTACCAAAAACTTTGATTTAATATTAACGTTAAAAGATTATTTTCAAGAGTATTATATTGGTATTAAATTTTTTTTGATTATAATTAAGTGTCCTTTTGTTATAAAAATTATATTCTTAAAAGCCTAGATAAAAACGTGTTATTTAAAATAATCGATCAATTCTTATTTGTTACTTAAGAAATAAAGCCATTACTTAATATATACTGTAACTTGAATGTCAAATAATTTCTCATGAATTACAAATAATTGAATTTGATACTGAATATTAACTTATAATTATCTCTTCCTAAATTAGATCGTATTTAATTAGCTCTTTAAGTCTTTAAAAAATAAAGCTATTACCTGTTACATATGTATGTACATGAGTACGTATTGTAGAGAAAGATTTATTATATAACTAATGCTTAAAATAAACATAACTATCTTAATCACACGGCTTCTCAGCAGGGATAGTAAATGTCTTTCAAATGATCTTCAAATGACACCAATTTTATTATGAATTTTAGTTCGAAATAACCTAGGTCATTTGAAAGAAAGGAAAATGGCCTCTACTTTTACCATCCTGGTTCTCAGTCAGAATTTGAGCAAGTTATGGAAAATTACGTGAATATGTTGAGGTTGATGATGATATGTTTTAAATGATCTTTTACAATTCGATAGTGAAAATTTGGATACAGAAAAGAGGTTAGATTTTAATTGATTTATGGATATAAAAATGAATGGATAACTAATGAGGCAATAAATATAATTATGATATTGAAGCTAGTAATGCATCTAAATAAGGAAGTATAACTGTTTTAGTTTTTAGCTTTAAACATTATATATTTTTTTATATTCAGATATTCATTTATTATATATATAAATCTTAAATCTAAACAAAATCTCATAATAACGATTGATGTAATGATGTAATCCGCTCGAATTCGTACGAATTGAGCGGATTACACAAGAATACGGACCGGATTCACATCTCTAATCTGTCGTACAGATGTAGATCATATACCTGTGAAAAAACCAAGTTGAAAAATAAAGTCGTGCACGATAAAGAATCTACCTTTATCAAAAGCGAGAGCCTGAAATTACTACCTCTAAAGATTGTATAGATTGTGTAGATTGTGTAGATGTCAACTCACGCATAAATTCTGTATTATTTACTTTAACTGAGTGAGGTTTCTCGTTAACAGAATGATATTTGCAGTTATCGAGAATTTCTTTTGTCAGTTCTTTAAATTCATAATTAAAATTAGAAAGGTCGTTAAAGGATATTTCAAGTTTGTGAATAATCTTAGGAAATTGTTTTATCAATCTTGGTTTGATGTGCTTAAACTTGAAAATAAAACTTTTCTCTATATGGCAAGGTATTGCGTAATAGTAACACGAAATCCTATCATTTTATCATAGATATACCAGATACTAAAGTGTGGCTCCTGCGTTGGAAAACTTTCTCTGTGAGATCCATTTTTATGTATACCGCTATCTGTAAATTTGTATTTCCACTCAATACCGTCAGTTCCTTCAC